GCTGGAACCCTGGCTGCGGCCCCTCAGTTGCTGAGGGCTGAGCCCTCACACACCCCAGCAGAGGCCCAGAGCTGGAGGACCGTGGTCGAGAGCTGCTGGAGTCCCGGGCGTTGCTGGGAGAGGGACCCACGCCAGACGCCACTCAGGTCGGCTTTCGCTTCCCGGTCAGTTCTGCATCGGGCTGTTCGAGAGACGCAAAGGCACTCTGAGCGCTAGAAAGCCCTGCGTAGGACATTGCTTTCTAGTTTCTTAAATAAGAGGCTTCTGATATCTCCGGCTTCTGGTTTCCATGCTTGGGTGTCCTTTCTGTCCTTACCATAGAATGGCTTCCCAAGGCTTTGGGTGCATTTCTTAGAATCGTTCGGTGTGCGCCAGTGTATGGAGACTGCTGCTCAGGAAGACTGGGACTCAGTTTGTGGGCTGTTGAGCTGGTTGTCGGCAACTGTAAACACACTTCCTCTTAGAAACATGTTTATACTCCGACACGCCTACAGAAGCTGCCTCTGCGGGGCAGCTGGGCAGGAAATGGAGCGGGGCAGCGCCTGCCGAAGCCTGCGGGCGGCGTCCAGAGCCTGGGTGCTGGGCGGTGAGGACAGGTGGGCGGAGCGCCGGGGGATGGGCTCTGGGAGCACTCCGGGCCGCCGGGGTGGCAGCCTGGGTCCCGGACTGCCCAGAGCACGCCACGCCCTTGCCGAGCACTTCCCGCCGTGGCGCCCTGTGTCACGTGTGGCGCGTCCCTGGCACGCCACAGCAGACCGTCAGCACGCAGCTTTGCCTGTCGCCATGCGATGGGGGATGGCTCTTCAGGGAGAGCAGGCGGCAGGCGCGGGAAGAGGAAGGTGCTCGGAGAGGATGCGTGTGTGCTTGAAGAAAGACCGCCTGCCGGAGCGCTAGGCTGGTGGGAATGGTGGCAGATGGGAGAGGAGGCTGTGGCCTGTCCCTGGCAGTGGGGAGGACGTTTCGATGAAACAGAGGGAAAGAGCACAAGGATCGAGTCGGGGGAGAGGTGCTGGGCCCTGCTGAGTGACAAAGCTCCCTGCTCACAGCGCCAGGCAGCCCTGGCAACTTGGGGGTTGGAGGAGCAGGCGGAGGGCTGGGGGTTGGCAGGGGCAAGGTCAGTTAGGGTCGGTCACGCTCTCTGTTGAGGCCCTACCTCAGAGCCAGACTCCAGGCACGTGTCTGTAAGTCGGCGCTGAGCATGTGTTTAAAGGTGGGCGATCGCAGCCCTTGTGCCTGCCGTGCGGAGCGGGGAGTGAGTGGGCGGGGTTAACCCCGGAGAGTGGACGGGCCGGCGTCTGATTTCCAGAATCATCTCGGATACGGTCTCTGCGGTGGGCCAGCAGGAAGTCGCCGCTGCAGGAACTGGCCAGATGGCGGAGGTGGGCACGCCTCCTGGGCGCATGTCTCGAGGACCCTGGTGTCGTCAGCAGCTGTGGGGGCTCCCTGTCACCACGTTGTCCCCACCGCGTCTCCGCCGTGCCCCCTCGAGTCCTTCACCACGTCCTGCCCATCCCACTTCTTCCACGCCGCTTTTTAGTCACCGTGGAAACATACCGCACTTGTGCAGTTCCACGAGGTCGGACATACATGTACACGTGAACTTGCTCAGCCAAGATAATTAAAAATGGGCCGCCCTCGAAGTTTTCTCCTGCCTCTTGCGATTCTCCGTCCGCTTGCCCGCTCGGCCCCAGCCTCCGGCGGCCTCCCGTCTGCTCTCCTTCCCTGGAGGGGGTTGCGTTCTCCCGAAGCTCTCCTGGCTGATCTTCGACCCTCATCTCTCTCACCCAGTAAAATATTATGAGATTTATCAGGAGTGTTTATCAGCGGTTTTTTTATTCCTGAGTGGTGTGCCCTTTGTGGATGTGCCAGTTTCTGTTTTGATGGGTGTGATGCTGCTTCCACTTTGGGGTAATTAGCAGTGAAGCCGCTGTGAATGTGCACAGACAAGTTGTTTCATGGGCACGGGCTTTGAGTCTCGTGGCTAAACACCCAGGCGTGGAAGGGTTCAATCATATGGCAGCGGTATGTGTGGCTTTTTAAGAAAACGCTGAGCTGTTTTTCTAAGTGGCTGTCTCAGCGTGCGCTCCCACTAACAGTGCGCGCGCGTGCCAGCCCTCTCGTCCTCGCTGCGCACCTGCAGTCCATCTTAGCGTTGGCTGCTCCAGCAGGTGACTCTTGGTGGTTTAGCTTGCGTTTCTTTCACGATTAATGGTATGAAGCATCTTTTCTTGTGCTGCTTCACCACTTGTGTACCTTGAGTGGAATGCTTGTTCAAGTTTCACACCTATTTAAAAAGATTTAAGTTCTTTTATATTCTAGGAACAAGACTTTGATCAGATGTGCAATTTACAGATCCCAGTCCACGGCTTATCTTTTTATTATCTTAATAGTATCCTTCAGAGAGCAGCTTTTAATTTTGGTGATGTCTAACTTACCATGTTTCTTTCTTTTATGGGTTGTGTCTAAGGAATCTACTTAAACCAAGGTGACAATGGGTGTTGCTTGTGTTTCTGCTGATTTTACCGCCTTGTGTTTTATGTTTACATGTGTGTTCCATTTTGAGTTAACTTTTATGTGTGGTGTAAGTTTGGATCAAAGTTTATTTTTTGTGTGTGGACATCGAATTGCCATGTACCGTCTACTGAATGGATCACCGTTCTCCTCTGCGCTGCCTTCCCACCTTTGTCTAAAACCCCTTGTACAACGCACGTCTGTTTGAGCCTATCAGTGGACGCGGGGTTCTGCTCTGTTGCTTCTTGTGTATCTGTAGACAAGCACCACGCTGCCTTGGTTAACAGAGCTTCACAGTGAGTCTTGAAATCAAATGGCGCTAGTTTTTCAACTACGTTCTTTATTAGTTTCGCTGTTGTAGGTCCTTTTTCGTATGAACTCTAGAATCAGTTTGTCAATTTCTAACAAAAAAGTCTGCCATACTTTCGGTTGTGATTTTTTTCAGTCTGTAGATCAATTTGGAAGAATTGACATCTAAATAGATTTGAACTTTCCTACCTGTGGACCAGGTACCCCTCTCTGTCGACGCATGTTCCTAGTGTCTTTCAGTGGCAGGTGGCAGCCGTTAGGGGGCAGGTCTCGCACATCTTTTGTCGGATTTATCCCTGAGTGTTTCATATTTAATTTCAAAGTGTGATCAAGTGTGTGTGTGTGTTTAATCTCTTCAATTATATCTGTGATGGACAAACTTAGTCCATTTACATTTAAAGTAATCACTGATAGGTGTGTACTTACTGTCATTTCGTTAATTGTTTAGTGGCTGTTTTTGTAGTTTGTCCCTGTTCCTCTTCCTCTTGCTCTCTGCCTTTGTAGTTTGATGACTTTATTTAGTGCCGTACTTATATTCTCTTTCTCCTTCGTGTATTTACTATAGGTTTTTTGCTTTGTGGTTACAGTGAGGCTTACATGTTACAACTCATAGCTGTAACACTACTTTAAGTTGATAACCACTTAAGTCTGATCCCATTCTACAGCTCAGCATTTTTACTCCTCACAACATTCGGGTTTTTTTATTTTTAGACTTTATTTTTATTTTTTAATATATAATCTTCAGTTTTTTCCAGTCCGTTTAGTCCCCTTATGCCCCCCAGCAGTGACCACACTGTTGTCCGTGTCCATGAGTCCTTCTCCTTTTTGCTCAGTCCCTCCACCCCCTCACCTCCCCCCACCTCCACTAGCTGTCTGTTGTGTATTTTTAGAGAGAGGGGAAGGGAGGGAGAGAGAGAGAAACGTTGATTGGTTGCCTCTTGTACACCCTCAACCTGGGACTGAACCCAAAACCCAGGCAGGTGCCCTGACTGGGAGTTGGACCGGCGACTTTTCGCTTTGCAGGACGACACCCAGCCCACTGAGCCGCTTGTCAGGGCCATTTATGTTTTCAATGTCGTATTTTACATCTTTTATTTTGTACCCCTTAATAATTACCATAATCGTAATTTTTACTGCTTTTGTCCTTAACTTTCTTACTAACTGTAATGAATCTACTCCCTTTACTATATATTCACCTTTCCAGTGAGATTTATTATTCAGTGTTTTCTTGTTACTAATTAACAATCTTTCTTTTCAGCTTTCAGATTAAAGTCTCTTTCTTGTGAGGCTGGTTTAGTGCTGAAGAGCTTCATTTGCTTTTGCTTACCTGGGAAACTCTCTTTCTCCTTCATGCCGACCGACAGCTTTGCTGCGGGGCACCCTGCTGGAAGTTTCTCCGTCTCAGCTCTTAGCCTCTCCCGTGCCCACCCCTCCTGGCCTGCAGAGCGTCCGCTGGGAAGTCTGCTGACCTCCTGGGGCTCCCCTGGGTGCCGCCACTATTTCCTCTTTGTCGCCAGGCTTTGACTTTTTAATTACATGTAGCGTGTCCTGGTGTGTGTCTCTCCGGGTTCTTCTTTGGATTCTCTGGGCTTCCTGAATCCGGGTGTTTGTTTCCCTCCCTAGCTTAAGGAAGTGCTTTCTGGAGTCATTTTCTTTTGGCCCTTTGCCAGACTTTGAATGTGCAGGGCAGTCGCAGGTGAGCCCCAGGCCTCTCTCAACTTTTGTCCTTGTCTGTGGAGTGTACCTGACGATCTCACCGGTCTCTCAGCTGCATCATTATTTGGAGAATCACTTGGAAAATTGGGAGACTGCCTAATAGATGTTTCCCCAAAAACATCAGCTAATGGTTTATTGAAAAGTTCAGTCTTGTTGAGCAGCAAATTCTGTTTGCGCCCATAATTGAACCCTACTTTCTAGTGTTCCCTACCGCATGTAAGGTCGCAAGGTGCTTTTGCTACCGTAAGCTCGTTTGGATTCAGGTTTCCACAGCAGGGTCATGGGGAGGACCCCGGAGGGGGACAAGGGGCAGCCGCGCTGCGTTTGTCTAGTTGGGCAGCTGGCGGAGGAGCCTGTGTGGGCGAGACCTTTATCCAGGAGGAGCGGAGTGAAAGCTTTGACCAAAACAGTGGAAGTGCTGTATGTCAGAATGCAGGAATTCACACATTTTTATTTTATTGCAGGTATTTCTTGGTGGATTTTTATGCACCAACAACAACTGTTGCAGGCATAATGGATCACTTGTCTCGAGACATCGATGTTATTAGACCTAACATTGTAAAACACCCCCTGACCCAGGAAGTGAAGGAGTGCGAAGGGATGGTCCCAGTCCCACTGGAGGAAAAACTCTATTCCACAAGGAAGAGGAAGTGAGAAGGTCCCCCAGAGTCGGCCTGTGCTCAATCATGGGGTAGTCATCTACAGGCCCGGCCTTTGTAGTAACGCGTGTTACAAGGTGCCATCTGAGTTTTCCAGGTGTTTTCAGCTCTTGCTCCCTTTTGCCAGGGGGCGGGGCAGGGGGGCTGGGGAACGACTTGCTTGGAGCCACTTTGTAACCTGTGTGGTGCCAGCACATTGTTCTCGATGTCGTTAAATGTAATATTTTTGTTAGTGAGATCTCATTGCCCTACAACACTAACATCATTGTAAACAACAAAACTTATAAAACCCTCTTGGATTATAATGAGCTAATCATTCAGACTGTGGAACTTTGCGAAATAAAACACCACTCAGATTATAAAACCCTGGTGTGTTGTACGAGTGACTTTGGATCAGAACAATAAGCACGATTTTTAAAACCCGGGGAGGCGTTTGGTCCTCGCCTGCCCCAGCGCAGAGCGCTGCCGGCTCAGCCCAGGAGGCCGCAGCGTGGGGGCCGCCCCAGTTCCGAGCGAGACCCGGGGGAGGGGCGAGGCTGCTTCTCAGCTGCTGGACGCGCTTCAGGTCGGTAGCTTTTTCTCTCCACTCCCCATTTCACCATGGTGGTGGTGGCTCGCTGTAGAGGGACATGAATGCTCCATGCCGCGACGCTCCAGCACGCAAGCGCCGGCCGCCCCCACAGGCCCTCGGCCCGGGCCAGCCCCTGTGGGCTGCAGCGCCTGGGACCTGGCCCCCTGGCCCCCCGGTCCCCGCGGTGGCCCGCGAGGCCAGAGCCAGCCGCTCCGGGGCGGCGCGGGCCTGGGCCAGAGGGCTCACCGGCACCGGGGCCTGCGGTATGCCGAGCGCTTAGTTGAGGAGGAACTAAGAAGAAAAATATCTTTAAAAATGTTTTTAAATTTGAAACGTGTAGCTCTGTTTTTAAAAAAACACATAGAAATAAAGAGGTTTTGTTTGGTGGGTTATTGTTTTGGCAGGGGAGAAGCTGGGTTTGGGATGTTAAGAGTTTTGAGACTAAGAACAAACTAGCCTGTGCTTGAAATGGATGCAGTTAGTTAGAATCACCACATTTAGCCAATAGAAATGCCCGGTGCCCAGTTAAATTTCATATAAACAACAAATCATTTTTTCCCATAGCATGCTCCAAATGTTGCATGAAACATAATTACAGCAAAAAAAAAAAAAAAAAAAATGATGCGTTATTTGAAGTTCAGGTTTACCTGGGTGTCGTGTATTTTGTGTGGCAACTTGAGTGTAGCCCACACAAAGACAGAAGCAGTGCCCAGGCAGAGACAGGGCCTGCTCTGTTCAGCAAAGCCCTTAAGAAGGAAATGAAGTCCGCGCCCAACATCGTGGCTGTTCAGCTGACCACCTCGTCAACAAGGCAAGCTGGGAGCGCGCCGGCGGTCACGGAAGAGAACGCAGCTGGCATGCTGCATGTTCCGCAAACCTGTGTTTCCTCCGCCCACCAGAAGGCCGACCCAGGAGCTAACGGAGCTTTCATTCCTGGTCAGTTCCAGGTAATCGGTTCTGTAAGCCTGAATTTACACCACAGTCTTAGAATCGGTAACTGCTCCCTCTGTTTTGAAACAATTCTTTAAAAAGGCCCACCGGTGGTGTCTGCTGGGCCCTGGAAGCCGCGTTCCCAGGGGCATGGCTTGCGCAGTGGCCACAGGTGAGGCTTTTTCCTGAAACAGCTCTGGCAGCTTCTCCATTTCACCGAATGGTGAATTGGATGAAAATGACCCTCCCTACCCCTCTGCCTTCAGCCCCTTGCACAGGTGTCTGTCGGTGGCCCAGGTGACAAAGCCTCTGTGTATCAGTGTTAGGGAGGAGCCACGGTGGCATCCCCGGCTCTTTTAACTTGGCCGTTCTGATCACATGAAAGCAGGAGGGGCCTCCCCTCCGGCTAACCCTGCGCTGAGACGGGGGCTCGGGAGGCATGCGAGACAGATGCCGCAAGAGCCAGAGGGGCCCGGCCGCTCTTGGCCCCGGGCTTCCTCCCTTGGTGACCCAGCTGTTGCTGGGCTCGGGGGCCCGGAGATCAGATGGGTCACTTTGCTTATTCGTAAGAGTCCAGACAGTCTCTAGCTTCGACTTCCTCCAGAGGCAAAAAGCTAAAAAGAGTCTTTGAAGAGCAATAGTTCGGTAAAGAGGGTCATTAAGAACAGACAGGAAGTAAAAGGGATGAAGTGGAGATTATCTGGGAAATAGGCGACTTCCTGTTTGATGAGGAATTTCCTGAAAGGGCAGGGCCCACGGGAGGGTGCCCTGCTGCAGGCCGGCGCGCGCCTGCTTCACGCGGGGGCTCCCTGGGGCCCTCCCACGTGCCCCAGCGCTCGTCCCATGCACGCTATGTGCCCAGCACCGTGCCACGCACGTTTTGTGTTGCCTCTGTGGCCCTCCCTTTCTGCAGCTCTGGGAGGGGGTGTTGTCGTCCGTTTTTTGGGTAAGGCATGGACTCTCAGAGGTGCCACTGGCCCCACGAGGTCCAGTGACAGTGGGGATCTTGAACTGGAAGAACCTAGACACCACGTGGTCTCTTCCATCCAGAACGTGAGCTTGCCCTTGCCCTCCCTGGTGAAACGGCGCCCGCGTCCCCGGGGTGAATGATCACCACTCAGGGAGTGACGCTTGTCCTCGGGGCCCGAGTGTGGTGCTGGCACCTTCCCCTCCTGTGCCTGCCGGTCGCTGAGAAGACACCGCCGTTGGGCGTGGCAGGCATGGCGTGGTCAGAGCCCGCGGCCGCTTCAGCGAGTGCTGGGAAGGAGGCTCGCTGAGTAGGACGGCCGTGCCCTCCTTGGAAGCTGCAAAAGGAAGCCACTGTCCCGTCCCCTGAGGCGCTGCTCCCACGTGGACCCTCAGCCCTCCAGGGTGCCGGTGTCTGAGCGGGGCACGGGTGCAGGCCTGTCTGGGCGGCACACCTGCCACCAGAGGCTCAGAGGCGCCGTTCTGTGGCCCGCTCCTTTGACGGACGTTAGAGCTGCGCAAAAGGCGGTCCTGTCCTCGTGGGCAGCGAGCTGGGGGGGGTGGGGCAGGGGAGGGCGCGTGCTGCCGGCGCAGGCGTGCTGCGGAGCAGGGACAGAGGACGCCGGCAGGGAGTGGCGGCGGAGCTGAGACCAGACACCGGGGCCAGTGCTGTGCTGTGATGTTGGCAGCAGGCACAGCACACGCGGGCGCCTGGAGGCCCTGGGCGGGACAACGGGACGGAGGGACGGATCCGTGACAGGACAGCCAGGGCCAGCTCTGGGAGGCGAAGACCGGGGGAGTGGGGGGCGGGGGCGGAGGGGCCGCAGCAGCGAGCGGGCCGGGCCCCAGAGTGACGGGGGCCCTGAGCACTCCCTTCCTGCTCACAGCCTCGGGAAAGGGCCCTTCCTCGGACTTGTTACCTGGAGTGCTGGTGCCACCCTGCTCCCGGAAAGTCCTTTTTTTTTTTTCCTTCTTCTTTGCACGAGGCGGGGCTGGGAGGTGGAGAGTGGGATGGAGGGCCCCGGAAGCTAGGTGTGTCTTGGACGTCGCTTTCTGGAGCCACTTACACGTCCCGGGAGCCCTTGGCGAGTCTGAGTCGGAGCCCGTCCAGCCCAGGACTGGACTCGGATTTGCGTTGATTCAGATGAAACGTTTGGCGGCGGGACTGGAGGAGGGTCGGAAGCAAGGCCTGAGCTGTTCTCCGGTGTGTCTGCACGTTGGGAGAGCAGCCGCCACCCCGCGCCTGGGGTGCGACCATGGTTTCAGGAGAAGATCAACACAGACATTCCCTTCTTCACTACTCCACGAGGCAACAGCCTGCCCGTCTTACAGACGGCCCCTGAGCTCCGAAAACACGCCACTTGCCCGCGGCTGCAGGGAGTTGGGGTTGGTGTGCCGAAAGAGCCCTTTCTGGCCCACTGTGCCCCCTGCAGGCGGGCACTGCCAGCCCCCGTGGTTCGGGCCGTGCTCCCAGGCACTGGCGCCAAGCAGCCCATGCCCCGGCCTGCCCTGTCCGCACCCCGACAGGGCCCAGGCTCCCCACTGTGGGAGGGGGAGAGTGGGCCTGCTATTCCGCAGAAGGGGTTTTCATCCCCGGGCTTTAAGGGGTGTGCTGAGAACCACAGAAGCGAACGTGAGTGTGCCCTGGAGGCCTGGCCCCCTTTCTGCACGCGCCCCTGCTCTGCGCCTTCTGCGGTGCTGCGCTCTCCACTGACTCCGGGGCCACGGGCACAGCGCACGCAGCAGGCGTGGCTCTCCAACAGGGAAGGCAGGAACAGTTGGCTGGCTGAAAACAGGCCATAATAACACCACCACCTGAGGTTCCGACCGAGAACCGGAGTCGTTCGTCCTTGGATCAGGGAGGGGGTCCCAGCAGAGGTGGCGTGGAAGCAGGCGCGGGCACAGCTGGGGTGGAGCAGGCAGGGCGAAGATGGGAGGCGGCAGAAGTGCAGGGTGTGTTTGGGGGACCCCTGGGAGCACGTGTGAGAGGAAGGGGCTTGGAGTGTGGGAAAGGCTGGGCTTTCGGGGGACGTTAGGTTTACCGTCTGCTGGTGAAGAGGTTTCGTGGCTGCCACGGGTTCCTTGAACTGAACTGAGAGGGTCATTTCAAAGACCCAAGAATGAGTACCGTGAGTAGTAACTTGGCATAAAATGTGCCTCCTGGTTGGCCAACCCCCACACTGCCCACACATTTGGGGGAAAGAAACGGCAGTGCACAATCCCCACGGAGAGGGACAGAGAGGGCTGAAGCAGGTGGTCAGGTGCCCACCTGCAGCGGACAGAGGACCGGACGCTGTCAGAGCCCCGTGACCCCTGGCGGAGCTGGCGGTGCCCTGAAAGGCCGGGTGGCAGCGCCGGGAAGCGGGCTCGGTCTCTGCTCACTGTGGCGGGGCCTGGGCCGCTGGCGGGAGGAGGGCCCAGCGAGAGGGGAGCACAGCTGGGGCCACCGGGACAAACGCCAGCCCTCGCCCGCGCTCCCCTCTGCACCCAGGAACAGGCCGGTACGGCCCTGAGGGCGGGCATGCCGGGGCAAAGTGTGGGATCGCCGGCCCCCTGAAATGGGAGGAGCGGGATGGACGCAGGACTTCGGGTCGCAGGCCTCCTGGGTGCCCTGCGTTGCCACCCACCAGCGCGTGACCTTGGCCCATTTCTTGCCTTCTCTCGGCCTCAGACCTCGGCAGCTTTATGTAGAAAATGGGCCAGTGAAGCAGCAGGTCTCCTCTGTTACCTGGTACAGTCAGGCCTCAAGATTAGAAGAGTCTGCATTTGCAAATGGGCCTGCTCGCTAGAGTTTATCTGTAACCCCACCCAAACCGAGACGCGGCACTTCCACGGTCATTCGAGCTCTCACGGCCAGCGTTGCCTCTCCTCCCTGTCAAAGCATTAATTCCAGAAGT